AACAGTTTGAGATGCTCGATTTTTCCTCGACTGTTAACAACTTGGTTTGCTGACTGTTGATAGTCAGCCGACTTTTTAGAGACCGGCTGTCAATAGTCGACCTCTTCTTTTCGTCGAATTCCTCCATTTCCGACAAGATGGAGCTCCTACTCACCAAAACACATCTAACTCTTCATCTTTACTCAACATTTACCCTAAATAACACCAACAACACATTGAAAACTCTTAAATTTAACATTCACGCCATAAATAATATTCCAAACTGTAATCTAAGAGCATGTTTGTTTCTCATTTTCATAGTAAAAATGCATTTTGTAATAGTGATTGTTAAAAATGTGTGGTTAAAAAATAAGGAAAAATTTTAATTTTGCGTGTAATATTATTTTATTGAAGAGTGTATGGTTGAAAATAAAAGAGAGAAAAATGTATTTTGGGAAAAATGGGTACCAAACGAGGGCTAACTCAACCCAAAGCTAACCTTTAAAAGAAGAAGTTCTTCGGCAACCGTGTCTCTTCGATGAGTGTTGACTGTTGATAAAAATCGACGACTGAATTCCGATGATGAGTTTTGGCACAAGAAAAACAAATGGAAAGTGCAATAGATGGCGTTGTTTTTTTGGACAACCGTCTTTGAATTTAATATTTTATTATTATTATTAAAATCAGTCAAAGGTGAAAAGTGAAAATAGCTTCCGGTCAACCAGCCATTTCAAATGATTTCCTCAACGAGTTGACGGTGGTAACAAAACTTTCCGATCAGACGGCTGCTCTTTACACGGCTTTCCAGCCTAGTCCTCCTCCTGTCACGTTTTGCTTACAGAGAAAAAACATATCTCCTCATTTTATTTTCTTCATAGAAATCTAATTGCTTACAGAATTCTCACGCAACTGGAAACAGATCCGTTCAACTTTGTAGGTGTTAGTTGTAGAGAGACATCCCGACCCCCATCCTAGCTAAAAATAGGGAAAAATGCAAAAAGTGATGAGTATTATGAAGCCCAAACCAAACCCGCAGCAATTAATGAGAGATTGGCAGCGTCGACTTCGCCAAGAGTGCCGGAATATCGAACGCTAAATCCGAGGTTATTATTTATTTTCAGTTTTTTAAAATTTTGGCTTTTTAAATTTCTGATTATTGAATTTATTTGTAGTCGGAAATTTTCGAATTTATTGTTTTTTATTATTTTTGTTGCTGAGTTTGATTAGATATACAGAGAGAAGAGAAGAATTTCCAGAAAGCGATTAAAGAAGAAAGAAGCTGCAAAGAGAAATGACATGGGTTCTGCTAAGGTATCATTTAAGGCATATATAGATCAGGTTATATATCTCGTAATGTTATTAATTTATGCCGTTGATCGATGTTAGAACATTTTGAAATTGTTACTATCATTAATTTTTCATATTCGTTATTGAATAATGATGATTGATACCATATTAACGTGACATGATGCATAATCAGCATCTCCCCCAGTGGTTATTGAAATTAGTACTGAAGTTTTCCTCTTTCTTCTCATTGTCATATAAATTCATAAAGATCTTACAAAATGAAATCCAGATTTCATCTATTGTTTTGTGTTGTTAGGCTGGGGGTGAGTGGGGGGATAACATGTGGAAGAAAGCCTAAGGAAACAATTTTTCTCTGGTCAGAAAAAGTTTGTGAGAAGAGTACATACTAAGAGAGTGATCCATTTGTCCTGTATGTTTTGCTGTCAACGAAGTCACAACTCTTGATACAATTGGAGATCAGTGTGGGTCTGGGCTAGGAAGCCTAGAATGAACATCTTGCAATTCTTAAGAAAAGACGAATTTTTAAAATTTGTTGGTCTATAGTCACAAAGCAGAAGTTTGATATGCTTCCATGAACGAAATCCTTACCTTGGATTTCTTTGCCCTTTTAAATCTGTGAATACTGAAATTACGAAAGAACTTTTTTTTTTGGGGGGGGGGGGGGGGGGGGGGGCTAACCCCCACTCAGGCCCAATAACATTTTTTTAAGGTGTTTTTTATTTTTATTTTTTGGGTAAAAAATCAATTTTTTATGTGTAAATTTTTTTTCCCGTGTAGTGGCCCAGTTTGAAATTTTGTAGCTCGGTCCCTGGACAATAGTTTAACCTGTTTTGAGCATTGGTAAATTCCTTTTTAAATGATGAAATTAATTAGGTGGACGAGTGCATTTCTCATTTTCTATTACACCGAGTAAATTGTAAAGTCTCAAAATAACGTCTTAACAATTCCTTATACATTCGACTTCCTTAAAAATTGAATAGACAAAATCTGTGATGCTCTGACACTTAAGAAAAGGACTGCTTCTGGTTCTGTGAAAATTAGGTTAACACAAGGAAGAAGATGAAGATGATTTGGACTTCGGCTCCCTTTTGAATTTTGTTAAATGGGCTTGCTCACTAGCCTTTTATTAACTTTTTATTTTGTAATTAAAATAAAATTTTCAAATTATTTTAATTCGAGTAAAAACTATATATTTGGAGTATAATTTGTCATCTATTTGCAACTTTATTATTCATTTATTTGTTCTCTTATTTTCAACACCACCAGTCGAATTTATATGTTTTAAAGTACAATTACACAATTTCATTTGTAACTTGTTTACGGCTCTAAGCACAAAAATAATACGACTTCATAAAATTAACACGAAGTCACAAACTCTGTTAGTCTCGAAATAAAGTATAGGTCGATTCACCATCTATCTACAACTCAATTTCATGTCATCTTTGGACTCCTCTACAAGTTTATTTCTACTTCTTGAAGTATGTTATATGAGTTCCTTTTTAATGCCCTCACCTTAAGCATAAAATTTATTATGATTCATTTTTATTTGTTATTTTGTTATTTTGCATTGAATTTAAATTAATTTTCATAATTTATTTATTTATTTTTAACAAACAAAAAAGGACATAACTATGCAGCTTGTATCCCCCTACTCGTACCGATAATTCTGCTCTTTTTTAACTGTATCCACATGTTCTAATTTTAAAGGAAGCAAGATTAGGCTCCTAGATAGGTACCCGTCTCTGACACCATACCTGAATCCGAGCAATAGGACAGAACAAGTTATTGCTAAATCTATTTTCTTGAATATTGTAATCACGTACTTGAGTGTAATTTGGTAACTGGCTAATTTCAATATCGCCTACAACCTGCTTCCTTAACTGTCTTAGAATGATGCCCTTAGATTACCCTATATGATATGAGATGCGCAAGACCTTCTAGAAAAACCAGTTATTACATCCTGATAGCTGTAATAGTATGACATATAAATCCTATTTGTTTGCAATTTTGACTTATCTTATACTCCTCTCGGGCACTCGCTAAAGAACTTGTGAGATCTAGAAAACTGTGAACCGTCTATATGAGAACAAGGCACAGTTGAATTCAATATCGATGCACCGAGGAGAAAGTGTTGGTATGCTCCTGCTCATATTTTAACTCGTGCTTGACTTTTGTACAGTAATGTTCTACTGCAGAGAAATATGCTTATTTTGAGCAGGCAGTTCGTCTTTCTATTATTTGATGAAAACCTCACTTGATTATGCCATTTTGATCCCAAACATTAAACTTTCTGTAAGACTAGCAAAATTTAAGACCTCATGTTTTCCACTCCAATGATTTGTAAATCGGTTATGTGTGGAGAACTAGAAAGACTCAGCAAGAACATAGAGTTTCCTACTTTTGTAGATTAGTAGCAAGAACTTTCTGAGACGTGATCATCTCTTTATGCCTTATAATTGTAAGCTGGAACTTTGGAAAGCCATTTGCTCTATCAAAAAAAATAAAATTAGTTTACTTGTTTCTTTGAGATCTTTCTAATTATGTGCTTTATTGGCTATCAATTTGTCCATTTGGTGGGAGACGAATGTTAGAAATTTTGAGCAACTATCTTTACTGTTGCACTTCCTTTGTGATAGAGAACTTGTCTTTGCATCTCTTTGGGCTATGGTGCAGGAACTTTTTCTGTACATCTTTGATTACTTTACAAAGAGCTGAAAAACCCTTCTGACGTAATTTTTTTTTTTTTTGGTCTACGAAGGATTTCTTGTCTGTTACTGTGTATATCGTTCTCTCTCCTTAAAATTTTCCTTCTCCCTTAAAAAAATGATATTTTTAAGTTATTCACAAAATCTTATTGAGTAGAGAACACTGCACACAAGGAATGTATGGAAGCAATACAAAATTACACCTAGCTCAGGATACTCGTGAAACCTATTCACCAGTCAAGAGATTGTGCACATTCTTAATCATATGAATTGTAATGGAAGAAGGTCAGCATATATTTTTAGGAGTCAAATAATTGCTTTGTATAGAGGAAAAAAAAAAAAATTAAAAAAATGAATTGTTAATTTAATCATTTACCAACCTGTCTCAATAAGTTTTACTAATTTCTTGTCCATAGCTCGAGGTCAGGCTTTATCTCAAGCTCAGATCGAGCCCCTTTTTGAGGTTCCGAGCTTAGCTCCAGCCGACCCGTGTGACTCACCGACTCGGGACTTATTTTATAATAATACCAAAAAAAAAAAAAAAAAAAAAAACGAAAAGTTACTGTATTTCCTTATTTTACATTATCATTACTAAGTACTTCCCCCTTAGAGTGGTCTAATTTAAATAAAGGTCAAATATTTGGCAATAATTGGTACTCTTTCTGTGTGACTTTGTTTTCTGCTGAACATTAAAAAACAAGCTGACTATATATTTACTATTGTAATCCTTTGTGAGGAAAGGGGCTCTGTTGGAGTCTTGGAGGCGTGCTTTCCTTCTTTTTAGATTTATCTTGTGCATGTTTATTTATAAGGATGATGCTCAGTGGGACTTTCCGTTCTATATTGTGGATAGACAACAGAAAACTTAATATTATTTTTCCTTCATTCTTCACTGTAATATTATTTTTCCTTCATTCTTCACTGTCTTCTGCTTGATATTGTATTTGATATACTCTACCTTTTCTTACTGAGTTTACAGCTATTGCTCGCACTGTGGGACATTTGTCCAAAAGTGCCGAAGTCATGAAGCTTGTCAACAATCTTATGAAAGCTCCACAAATGGCTGTTACCATGCAAGAATTCAGCAAGGAAATGACTAAGGTAAACTTTTTGTCTTTCTTTCAATAAAAAGATGACAAGAATAAGACTCCAAAAATGGCTGTTACAATTTGAGTTGGTTTACAATCTGTTCATCTTGTCCATTCAACTACTCTTTTTGTCACTTGCAACAATTAAAACACTTCTCGTGTTTCCTTCAGTTTATCCTATAAGGCAACCTGCTGAAAATGATGGCTTTATGTGAGCAGAAGAAAATCAATAATTTTATGAATGTTATACAACCTCAAAATTGGTTTTAGCATGTTGCATAATATTTAACTTCTCTGTCTAATTCCAGAATCATTTTTCTTTTCCGTTTCCTGGCTTGGCGATGTATTACACTTGTGGTTATAAAAAGCTTTATTCTGTAAGTCGATAATCTAGAGCATTGATAAATTTATAAATTACTGAAAAGCATGAAAAATCTAGAGCAGACTTGGCTGGCTTATAAAGTACTTATAATGTTCTTACACGTAAATTGGTTTTAAAATAAGTAATCTTTTATGGGTTGAAGTTGGAATAAGGAAGTTCCATATTTTGAGGGGGTATTTTAAGAAGCACCCGGTCAAAATACTAATTTTTCACATTGACCAAATTTTTTTTTGCCATTCACCAAAAGATCATTCTGAAGAGTAAATGTTATTTTTGCCCTTATTATGTATTGTAATTACAAAAACATATCATTTGCTTAAAAGACAAAAATACCCTCTTTAAAAAATTAATAAATCCAAACAATCCCACTTAAATTTCAAAACGAAATCACTTTCCTTATCAGATTCTCGAACACAGTTAAAAAGAAATTTCCTCTTCCATCTGTTTGAACATTGAAATCTCAAAAAATTATCAAAGTCTCAACAAAAAAATATTACTCACAGTTGGCACTTGAAATTGGTAAGTATAAATACGTATGTTTAATTTCATTTTAGTTAAATTAGTACATTGTTTGAATATTTAAATCTAATTTCAGCATATGATTTTAGAAAAATGAAATATTACAGTCTTAAAAGGATGTATAATTTTTTTTAGCAAAAACGAGGAAAAAAATTCATCTGTTTAGATGCAAAATATAGAAAATAGTCGGCCAAAAGACCGGGTCGGATGTTTAACAGCCGGCCCGGACTATCCGAGCCGGCTGTCAACATCCGGGCCGGATACGGGCCCCTTTTTTTCCCCCTTGTGTCATATTTTTTTTTGTCATTTTATTCTCGTAATTATAATTTTTTTAATAAATGATGTTTCCTAATACAGATATGGGATCAGCTGCTGTCCCGATTTGTTACTTTGGTGAATTTGAAAATAATGAAAATGATCGATGGGTGTGGAAATGGACGAGTGAAAGACATGGTTGTACTGCAATTGTAATAACATCAAGTACGTCATATGCAAAAATGTACAATGAGATATAGAACTTGCTGAAAGTCGATCCCTCTGAGTACGCCATGGAATTGGGAATTTTTAATGGATGAGCATACATTCAATTCAATTCCACCTATAATAGTTACTTCTGAAGTTGAAATGAAGGTTTTAATTGAAATGAACCAGAAACGTGTGATTTCTATTTGCTTGACTTTGATGAAAAAGAATATCCCCGAGAGTGAACACGAATATTTTGATAGAAGGGATCGTAATGTGAATGAGTTTTGGGACACAGTAGAAATAGTGCGTGATGATGTTGTAGCTGTTCCAGAGACAGTTGCTTCTCACCATGATCTCACTGTTACACATAGAATTTACTCGGTAGTCCAAGACAACGAAAGAGATAATGATTTTACAAATGAGAATTTTATTGCTTTATCTCGTTTGAGACATGAGTCGAGTGGGAGCTCACAGGCTGGACTGAGTGCACGGTCATCTAATTGTTCGCGTATAGTTCTTAATGATGAAGATTTGTATGTCTAGCAATTGTTTCACACGAAAAAAGATTTGCAGGAAGCTATTCACCGGATTGCTTTGAAACACAATTTTGAGTTTAAAGTGAAAAAATCAAACAAGTCGACTTACACAATTGTCTACGTTGACGACATTTGCTGTTGGTGTTTGCGAGCAACGAAAATGGACACGAATGAGTTCTTTGTGGTTCGTAAGTATGCACAGAAACATACTTGCGGAGTAAGTATTCGTCGAAATGATCACAGGTAAGCCCGATCATGGTTCATTGGTCGAGAAGTAATGCACAAGTTTCAAGACCCACGAATAATCTACAGACTTTCAGACATTTTTAATGAGGTTCGTCGAGAATACGGGGTGGTCATGAGCTATCAGAAGGCTTGGAAGGCCAAAGAATGCACGTTGGAGGATTTGATGGGTTCGACGGAGGAGAGTTATGCTAAATTGGTTAGGTATTTCTTTGTTTAGATATTTATTTAATAGTTATCTAACTAATTCAATCATTAATTTCAATTGTTTATTTAATTATTTATTGATTCTTTATCTAATGTGTAATTAATTATTTAATTCAATTGTTAATTTTTCATTTTTTAATATTGTTTATTTAATTATTTAAATTGTGATTATTGTTTATTTAATTGGTCAGGTTTTGCTATAACATGGGAAGAATTAATAGTGGATCGGTATTTTTTATTAAGAAGGATGACGAGAATCGCTTCAAGTATTTATTTATGGCCCTTGGACAATGCGTTCGAGGATTTCGAAACGCAGTGCGACCCTTAATCCTAGTCGACGATACAACCCTCAAGGCGAAATACGGGGGCAAGTTGATTATTGCAACATGTCAAGATGCTAACATCCAAATTTACCATCTTGCATTCGGCATAGTTGACGGAGAAAATGATTTGGCAATGCGTTGGTTTTTCATGAAGTTGAGGGAAGTAATTGGGGATGTCGAGAACCTTGCATTCGTAACCGACCGAGGCAGTCAATAATTAATGGTATCGTCGAAGTCTTTCCTGAGACACATCATGGTTATTGTATGTACCATGTACAAGGAAATCTGAAGACCAAGTATCAAGGAAAGAGCATCGTTACGTTGTTTAGGAGAGCTGCAGAGGCTTATAGTTTTCAAGGGTTTGAAAAATTTATGGTTGAAATAGAAAATAAATCTTATGATACATGGGAGTATCTGACAGAGATGTGGATCGAACATTAGGCACGATCACATTTTTCAGGACGTCGATACAACATGAGGACATCGAACAATGCGGAATCGCTCAATGCCTTATTTAAGAAGGATCGAGAGTTACCAATTCTCGCAATGCTTGAGAACATACGTGACAAGCTGCAACAGTAGTTTCATGATCGTCGTGAGGAATTAGAGAGTTGCACAAGTGTGCTAACCTCGGGTCAGGAAGATAAACTCTTCAAGACTCTAAAGGTGGCAAGGAAGGTACATATAGAACCCCTAAATCAGTTTCGCTTCTCCGCGAGATGTGCACGTAATTTCGGATACATCGTCGACTTGAATGATAACACGTGCACATGTAGACAGTTTCAGTTAGAGAGTTTTCCGTGTACACATGCAGTGACGGTGGCTATGTACAGAAGAATTTCACCACACACCTTATACAGTGCTTACACGACTGGTTCTTGGAGAGCAGCATATGCCGAAACCATATTTCCTATACCGAATGAAGTCGAGTGGGAAGTTCCTAATCACATTCTCTCATTGAATAACTTGTTACCACCAGCAGTCGACCCACATACTCCTGAAGGTACACGTACGCCTAGAATACCATCGATCGAAGGATTTCCCCGACCTCGTTAGTGCGACAGGTGCAGTGTAACTGGACATACTAGAAGATTTTGTACAAGTCAGATCTCTCTGCATGACAACGTAATAGATATATAATTGAAATTTATTTAACATTATTTATAACATTGATATTAATTATTTATGCATATTCTCAATATTAATTATTAGATTTAGTTTTTTTATTTTAATATTTCATTAATTAGTTTCGTAATATTTGATGTTTTTTTTTTAAAACTTAGTACGTTCTCCACAATATACCCAAACATTATAAATACGTCATGAAACATTTAAATAAACACATAAACTATAAAATAAATATTAAATATTAAAAAAAATAAACGTTTTACAATTATTTCGTAATTACAAATGAATGAATGAAATATACAATGCTTAAACGTTACAATATGTACAATTATTTTAAAGAAACACGGCTCAATATCTACGGATCAACATTAAATTCAAATAAATCACAAGCTAATTTATTTCTCCAATTTTGTATCCATGTCTGTTGATTGCATCAACTTTCTGTGCTAAACTAAAAAATTCTATGTACTTGATAGCGAATATGCCGCAATCACCCCTACAATTACAAAATATTGTATTAGCACATCATCGTCTAACTATAACGTAAGTTGTAAATTACAAAAATAAAATAATAAATACTTAAGATTTTGCTGTCTCGCTGTCATCGTATCCCGCACGGTGGCCAGTCTGTCATGCACAGTAATGTTCGCTCATCTAGCCAGCATGGGAACAATCACAGACAACGACTCCAGATTTTGCTCGAGCTGACTTGTATCAGGCATGAATGATCGGGGTCATACACATACATAGTCGAGTCGGCGAATACAATTTCCACTGCAATGTAGTGATGATTGATACACACCAGAATGTACAGATGCGTACAACCTTTCCATGGCTTTCTCCCGACACTCGGCCACATCCCTACAACCCACTCCATCATGTATGTAGGCATCGTGTACTCGCTACCCATAGCTTGAAATGTCTGGTACTCAATATTAACGACACGTATGAATTCAGTGTTCAATTTGAGTCGGCCAGGAATGTTGAACGATCTTGGATGTCGTTCAACTCGATCTCGTAGCAAATCCATGGTGAAGTCAATGTGCTGCACCAAGAAGCACCAATTAAAAAAGGAGTTATTTAATTTCATAAATTCAAAACTCAAAAATATGTATACGTAATAAATAACAATATTACTACTTTACTTACATTATCAGCGAGCCAAAGCCTCGAAGTGGTAATGTCGTGAAACCACTTGTAAGCGTCCGAGATCGTCTTATGAGCAATCCTGCGACTGACACTGAAAAATAAGAAAAGAAATTGTTAAGTAAAAATATAGATGTGTCAGCATCTGCTTAATGTACTAATCCTTAACGAATAATACAATACTTACCCGAGAATAATTGCTCTTCACTCCGCCTCGAACGCTTTCCACTTGGCGTGGTCCACCTCCCTAAATAAATTCGGGTACGTGCCGTCGACGAACCTCCTCCTTTTTGCCTCCGCGGTAAACGGAGAAACGACGTACTATGATGGTGCCCTCGGCCTCTTGTCGACCACCAGCTCCGGCACGTCAACAATACGCGACACCCTCCCAATATCCGACACTTCCTCACCTACCATCGGGACCACCTCTTTCGTCCCCTCCTATAGAAAAACTACGTCCGGCGAGTCTGACATCTGATATGGTACCCTCTCTGCCTCGGATACCCCCTCCTCCTCCTGCACCCTCACTACCTCCTCCTCCGGCATCTTGGGTACCCCCTCCTCCTCCGACACCCTAACGACCTCCGCCTCGGGTGCTCCCTTCTCGTCCGGCACCCTCCCGACCTCCTTCTCCGGCACCCCCTCCTCCTTTGGCACCCTCCCGATCTCCTCCTTCGGCACCCACCCGACCCCCTCCTCCTCCGACACTCTGACGACCTCCGCCTCCGTCACCTCGGGTACCCCCTCGTTCTCTGGCACCCTCCCGACCTTCGCCTCTGGTACCCCCTCCTCCTCCGACACCCTCCCGACCTCCTCCTCCGTCTCCATCGGGGCCCCATCCTCCATCTCTATCTCCATATCTATCGGGCCACCGAGATATGAAGTTAATGCATCATCTGATGCCCACAACGAGTCAACATACCCCGTCTAACCTCCTAGACCTTGATAACCACCGGCCCCTCCGTCCCGATAGCGGCTTGCCCCTCCTTCACCCCCTTCGTCCCGATAGCCACCTGCCCCTCCGTCACCCCTTTCATCCCGATAGCCACCTGTCCCTCTGTCACCCCCTCCATCCCAATACTTGCCAGTCCCATGCAGGCCTACTATGTCGCCCCGTGTCGCTACGACCTCAGCACAAAGGTCTCCTAGACCGACTTGTACCATCCCGACATCACGTCGTAAGTCAGCTACTTCGCCTCATAAGTCAGCTACATCGCATTTGATCGCTATCAGAAGTCGAAACATATCATCGATGGAAGCACTCTGATTACGTGCAATTGATCCACGTGGGAGTTGTCCGAACGCAAGAGACGGTAATCTCATGCAGGAAGGTGACACTTTCGGCGGAGGGGATCGCATGTAGGGAGGTGACACCCTTGACGGAGGCGACATCCTCGGGAAATGTGATGCCCTCGACGGAGGTGACACCCTCGGCGGAGGCGATAGTCGACGGCGCTCCTAAAAAAAGAAACATTACAAATCAATAACTTAATTAAAAAATTATAACGATAATCAACATATTATATTCAATTAACATACCGTGTTCCGATCGATAATGGACTCAGGCCTCTCTCGAGCAGCACGATCTGTCAGCAACTCACGGATATAAGTCTGATCCTTATCCTCGATCGATGGTGTCAGCTCAGTGAGGACTTCAAGCTGACATATTGACATTTCATCGAATTACTGACCACATATCCAGTTTCGAAAATGACATACAACAAAAAGCGCAAATATATAATATGTACCTCAGGATCGTCTAGGATAACTGATAACTGTTTTGTAAGGGGCTTGTCTTGTACTCGCCAGCAGTGCATCCGAGGGATGCATGTATCCTCTCTCCTAGCATACCGACCAGCCAAGATGGGAACAATCTCGTAGACCCATATCTGCAACAATTACGATTATTATATGTACAATTTAATAAAAAAATGGATAATTCATTATGTTAAATATTTACCTGCAAAGCTAACGGCAGGCCATATACATAGTACCTACGCTCCGACCTATCTCCCCTAGGTATCGAATGCCTCCTCCTGAAGACTCGTAAAGTATCGACAAAGCATTTCTCCCCCCACGGATAGCTGTTGAACGTATTGGTGTCGTCAACAACTTGCAAATGAAAAACGTCAATCGACGTCTTCCTGTGATGACACCTCAGTACGTTCTCCAGTAGAAACACCATCTCCAACTTCAACTTGTCGGACATCTAATCGCATCTCCTGAATGTATCTCCTAACTGCGCCAGTGTCACTGTTGTGTGCCCATTAAAATAATCATTCAGCAGTCTCTTATCTGTCGAAATACTGGCCCTCGCTACCTCTTCGCCTGTACATCTCAATTCAGTGATGAGGGCAAACTCGAGTATAGAAAATGTAGCAACCTTGCCC